AGAACGAGACCAATTGAAAGGCAACTAAAAGAAGGGTCTCATATGGTGAAGACGCAAGGGAGCGGAAGATTAGGGAGGCACTTGACATAATTGGGAAAAAAAATCTAATGAATAGGATTGTAGAGGCAGGCAGAGTTAGTGATAAATTTGCCCATTGCTTAAGCAAACTCGGGGGAAACAAGAATACCGCAGGACGAACAAAAAGGAGAAACCTGAATTAGGGATCTATTGCTAACCAGAGGAAAAGGGATGGCGATAAGGAAAAAGGGTAATTTCGAAATCAAGCGAAGACATTATCAGTGAGTGATGTTGGATAGAAGACACCAGTACAACTTTGGGGGCTGGCAGTCAGCGAACTAGATAGACGGATAGGCACAATCGTCACAGAAACTCGGCATTATAGCCAAAGTCAACTAGAAATATACTTGAGATGCCGCAGGCCATCTGGATCAGGGACAGACGCCCACAGTTTACTCAGGTAACGCGGGTTTAATCAAGGAGACGACCCGTGAAGGCAACGCTTGAGATCTGCAAGCATGGCAATCAGAGTCTAGGCGCTCTGCTCGGTGGGGCGGCAGTGTACGTATTTCTAATGCTTTGAGAAATAGCGCCTGGAGTAAAACGCACATTGGGACTGGAACCGAGTGAAATCGGTCAACCATAAAGATAAGAAACGGATCTACGGGACCGTGAGGAAGATCAGGACAGGAGACCCGAGTCGGATTAATCGACCGAAAGAGAGAGGGTCGGGGCGAATAGCAACTGGGATGAGGCCACATTAGTTTTGCCACAAGATGGCACACATTTTGATGAGTGCAATGTCAACGAGTGATAAGGTGGGAGTTGGATAAGCGGGTAAAGAGTAGATAGATGGGCCAGGATAGAAAGAGGAGTGATAGTGTAACTATTTTAGGCAGAACGTTGGCCGAAGGATTGACTCCACTTGTCCCTTTAATGAGTTCGTAGCTTGGTGCGGAGAATGGCAAGACTCACTGATGATGCCGACTAGGACGCAGGTGAAACGTCCGAGAATGTACCAAGTCCACGGTCTGATGCTGGGAATTATGATAATTACAATGACAGAGGACTACGGGCAAAATGCTTTCTAATAAGTCTGTCTGGCAAAAAGACCAAGTTGCGAAAACGAAGTCAACCCACTTATATAAATCGGAAGGAGACTGAGACCATTTTCGTCTTCGTATCTTCTACGAATCTCTTCTTCATGCATTTTCATACGAAATGAAGGTCTCTTTAACAATGTTATCTCAGGAGATTAATCGAAATTCAGTTATTCTTCGTATCTTTAATGAAAGTTATTTATTTAAAAAAATGTTAATAAAGGGCATTATCAAATAATTGTCAAATAACTCACTGTCTTGCGAAGGTCATCTCGTTGTGAATTGTGATGCCGGCTCCCATGCCAGGCAAGCCATCACCTGAAAGTACGGCTAGACTGGGCTGCGATGTGGAGTGCAAAAGTGGAGGATGATGGAGCAAGTGAAAAGGGTGATGCGGAAGATAAACGAAGTGATGCTGCATAAAGTGAAGCTGCTGCGGAAGCCCAATACCCGGCCCTGTAGAAGCCAGAGTATGCCCACCGACCACTGGAACAGGACTATGAGCTAGACCCACTCCGGTGCCGACTCCAAGACCGAGAGGTTTTACTAAATCGCCTGTAAGGGCCCCGGAACCATTGCGAAGATGAGCGATTCCAGCACGTGCTTGCTCCAGCATCTCAAGAAAGGTTAATTCAGAAACTGCCAAAGCAGTGTTGGCTAAAGCGGTCAGGTTTTCGAGTGACGCACCTCGAAGACCAAGACTAGAAGTTGATGTAGTCGTCCCATTTGTGTTAACAGTTGTCACAATTCCGGAGGATACAGCTTGTTGTAAGGCCGGTGCAAGACACGCAGACCCTGAGGTGGGACTGGGACCGGCGCCTGGACCAGGACCAAATTGGGCCGGACAGTTGCCTTGATCAGAAGAAGTGGAGGCTTGCGTGCGTCGATGCGTCGAGACCAAATGGCCACCGCTGAGAGCAGCGGAACACATGCCTCCGGTCGAGACAGATGCGAGAGATGAGGCTTGACTAGAACCGGAGGGCAAAGAGGCGAGGCCGAGGTGACTAGCGCAATGGAAAAGCGGGCCATTAGAGATGTCGGCAGTGACAAGAGCTGGTGATCCAAGGGAGATGTAAATATTCAAGGAATATAAAAGACCAATAGTTCATTCAATAAGTGAGCAAAAAGAAACTCATGTCTAAGAATTCATCAAACAAAGTCGACGTAAATATTTAAAGGTAGAGTCTACACAAGTATCATGAAAATAAATAATTGTTGTAACCACTCCGTGTCAATGATTACAACAGAAGTATCATGATCAGCAAACCTATGCGCTTGAGACGTTCTATCTCGTGTCCAGCCTCTGTTCTGTGTTCAGCTACTTCTGGCCGTTGAACCTAATTGTCTTTAACGCCATTTATGCATTCCCCTAATCTTTGACGAATAGACAGACATGTTTCACTAAGATAAGGTCGAGCACATGAACACACAATTGTGTAACAGACGGATCTTGATAATGGATAATACTTCTACCCGAAAGAAGACACAAATGAAAAAAGTGTCAGAGTTTTAAGGAAAACCGTTTTTGTCGCTCTCAATCTAGCTAATTCACATTTATTTTCACAAAGAAGGATAACGACAATATTATAACATTAAAAAAGTCTGAGCTTATCTACATTTGACTAAATAGTCTCCATCTGAGAAATAATTTCTCAGTAAAGAGACATTATTGCTAATTAAGCCTAAAGGAAAATTATTTTCCAGGAATACATTTTTTAGACTTCTCATTCTCCAAATAAAAAATTTCATGTATTTCAATATAAAATGAAAATCTCCACTTCCCAGCAATTCATTCTTAGGAAGGGATAGCTCCTCAGAATAGAGCATCATCGCCTATTAGGTAAATCGCACAAAATCGAAAGGTTCAGTTAATCAGCAGATCAGTCAAAGTGAGGGAGAAAAACTATTAAAGCCAATATGTCAATGATAATATTTCTTAGCATAATCTACAATGAGACAGTTTATTCAAATCAGCATACAAAAAACTAGTAGCCACAAGAATAGTCCAACAATTTATGCCAATGTTAGCTTAAGAACTTAACCAAATGAAAGAAGCTAATCTTGTAAGAACTAAGCAAGCAAAAATTAAGTCATCACTGAGGAAAACAAAAACGTTAGCAGATCGGCTTATGGAGAACTGATAATTAAATTTAAAAATATTTCTGTCTTGTGTTGTTAAGACTGCACATGTTATGGTGTGGAAATCGTACAGGTACGAAGACTCTATAGGTATTATGCCTAGTCAGTATCAAAAAATAGGCAAGAGCATCTTTTGCAGCCTGCATTCAAATGAAAACCACAGCAAGAGCAGTGACAATAGCATGCTCTGGCGGCAGAACTGTAATCCACAAGCAAATGGTGCGGGTAGAAAAGTGGGTGAAGATGAAAAATAGATTAAGAACGACGACACGTCACACTTCGTATTCTATTTTTAGTATCTAGTCAAAAAAATTGAATCGGCAATATAAGAGATTGCACCATTTGCATGAATCTAAGGAATAAAGTAGCTAAAATGTGATAGGAATCCTAGGCGAGAGACGTATGACTTGGCTGAGAAAGATAACTTCAATGTTGTGCGAGTAAGTTGGTATATGACGTCTAGATTGGGGAACAGTTCATGGGACCACAAGGTACAGAAGTTATGCAAGCCGAAACCTGGCGAACTTAGCAAAACGATCCCAAGCATCTTAATTACAAAGATCAAATGCCTAAGAAAAGGGAAATAAAGGAAGCCAGTAGTGCCATGGAAATAAAAGGTAAAGAATGAAATAGAAAAAATAAACAGAAGCTTGGGAAAGCTACCGTTGTAACTCGAAGCATGAAGCAGAAGATTCGGCTGGTGCGGTCTAACTAACCTGATCTGCTTGACACTAATGTGAGGATGAAGAGTCAAAAAAGGTCCTAAAACAAGGGTAGGGTATGGTCTAAAAGAAAATTCAGCTAATAGTAGCCGGAAGCAGGCAAGCCTGATTTGTGGACAGAAATATAATAAACCGTCCCATCTATATCTCCCAAAACACGCGGTTCAGGCTCAGAGCAAACTTTACTAAAGACGAAAATGAAAATTTAAAAAATATTTCATTGAGATAAGTTAGTACGCTATCTACTCCGCGCCCAATTTTATTCGCATCTGTTTCATCACTCAAAAAGTTTGAGATACAACAACCTTAAGTTGGATAAATTTATCTTGGGCAGGTATGAAGTAAATAAGGTAGTGACTAATAGCTAATTTTGCCTGCTTCCAAAGTGCAATAAGGTAAATTTTTGAAGGTACCAAATAGATGTTGTTTGACTATGTTTTCGCAACATGGTCATATTAGTAGGAAGACTTATTGAAACGCACCTAGTCCGGGGTCCATTGTCTGCATGATCATTTCCAAAGTTGAACC